GCGGGTCAGGAGAGGTCTGCCTTGCCAAGTGGATCTCCTCCGGGGCAGGCGGGGATCGAACTCATGCGGAAGTGGCTCAAGCTTCTTAGTGCTATGCTTTAACCCGCTGCACCACCAGGGAGGGCCTGTTTATATCTATTTCTTAAAGTTGATAAATCAGCTCTGGGAACAAGAGCATTTTTTTCTTCCCCCCAAATACTCCTTTGGAAAGATACCATTTAGGGAGGAAGAAATGAGCTGGCTATATCAATTGATCATTATGCTATAGTAACACCAAAATTCCATACAACCCAAGCAGCTGCTTTCTGTAATGTCTCCTCCTAGGAGGTGTCATCAGTAATTGCCTGCCAGGAAGGATGGTGGAGATGACCCAGCCGCAGATTCACCTCAGTCATAGGCAGGGAAGCTGTAATCAGGGCCACTCATGTCAAGTCTTTGAATTCAGTGAAAAAGCAGGAAGTGCATGTAATTAAAAGTGAACATTGCCACAGCCAAGCAGATAAAGTTAATTATACATCAAGAGGAACTTTTTTATGCAGTGAGCATGGTACTCATCACAATCAACAGCCCCAGGGACCAGGACATGGAATTGACTAGGCTCAGCTCAGAATGAAAGAATCCAGCGCCCCGAAACAGAGCATCCTTCTCAGAGCCAAATGTGCTTTCAGATAAAGGGAAAGTACAAAGGCTGAAAAGGAGGAGGAGGGCCAGCTTGGTAGGATCTCTAAATAAAACCAGGCTCCAATAGAACACTGATAATAAAGGAATAAAGTATGATTTCTAAAATAAACTGTGAAAGCAGAACAAATAGAGGAGAGAAGCATCCTTAACCCACCAGAGCTGGTTGCCATTTAGCAATTTGATTTTCAAGATTCAGGAATCTGGCCCTCCCTGATGGCACAGCAGGTTAAAGCTCAGCACTGAGAAGCTAAAGCCACTTCAGCATGAGTTCGATCCCCCATCCAGAGGTGACCCACACGGGGCAGCAGACCTCTCCTGACCCACCCGCTGCTCCCCTCAGCAGTGTACTCTGTCAATCGACCTGCTCTGCTCCCCACTCTGTCTCTGGTGAATCCCCTCACCACCCCTGCTCCTCTGGCTTGTACCTCAGCTCTGCATGCATAAATAAATAAACCTTAAAAAAAAAAAGATTCAGGAATCTACATAGAAGATGCACATTTAGCTTTCCACTATGAGACTACAGTGGATAAAAGAGGGGTCTCTGCTAAATGAGTTAACCCACTCAAATTGGATTAATGGATCCAGAGAGGTTGATGGAGAGGGTGAGTTACTGCTCAATGATGAGTTGTCAATATGGAGCAGAGATATTTTGCTCAACCAAATCTCAACAGTTCAGGGCTTAATTGATTTTTTGGCAATTAATGGTAACAGTGCCAAAAAGCAAGAGAAAAGACAGTCCATACGGAGCTGGTATCCTGCCTGCCGAGCAGGGAGTCTGTTGGCTGAACAATGCACATCGTCTTGGAGGGCAATTGGCCCCGATTGGCCACTGGCGATAGATCCCTCTAAGACAGAGCTGCTGGTTTAGAGACAGCAGTTGGTTGTGAATGTAAGTTAGATTATGGGTCTCTATCAGGAAGAGTTGGAAACTTGAATGCACTTGTCATGTATAAACTGCTTTCTCGATATTAGTAATAGAGATAGATAGATAGATACACATGTACATGCAGTTATATTTACATGTGTGTGTATACTGGTTTTCCTTTAAACTGAATTTCTCACCACACGTATAATTCTTTCTCACATTTAAACCTCTGCTGAGCATCTTTATTTTGTCCTGAATTCTTTGCTAATTCACTTGATTATCTCTTTTCAGAACTAAAAGATTTCATGTCTTTGATGTTTAAAACATTGGGAATGCTTATGTTGGATTTTATTTGTAGTTGGGGATCAGCTGAAACAACAAATCAAATTACAGGCATTTTCAGATAACTACCTTCTAACCTTCACATAAAAATCTGAAAACTGAGATAAGAAAAAAGACTAAATGACACATAGAAGCATTCCTAGGACAAAAGTTAAAATCTGTATTCACTGTTATAATTTCACTACACAACTTGCAGTTGGAAGTTACCCTCCCATCTGTGGACATCTAGTTATTCCTCAAGTGGAAACTTGCCCCAGCAATACTGATTTCCAGATGTGTCCAAACTAGGTGTGCTTTGAAGGGAACACATCTGTATTGGTGAAGAAGGTAGATAAGTAAGAGCTTGCCAATTAAAAACCTTTACAATTGTAAATTCAAAAGCAGAACCTCACCTTTTCTCAAATATTTAAATATGTTCTTCAAATTCAAGAAGTGAGGATTACTATAAGCAATCTGAATGATAGCTCCTTCCTCCCACCAAATGTCACTGAAGATGAAGATATCAAAACCTATTTATTGGCTTGGAATGATACCTGTATTAAGTGATGGCATGAGCAAAGCAGTTTATAAGGCACAAATACAGGATGATCCTATCATACATCTAGATGAGATTCAATGAAGGGGAGTGTCTCTAGAATGCAACAGGGAGTTTGTCTTCTTCACTGTTGCATCCCTAGTGCCTAGAACAGGTGCTTTGCACTTGTAATAATGGTGTTTGAATAAATGAATCAAAGATGTTCAGAAAGTCCTACACCAAAAGTTGAACGTGGTGACATGCTAGTACTTTTTGTTTTTGATATTTTCTCTATTATTTGAGTTGCCCTAAAAATGTTTATTTTGATTAAAACAGATATTAAAAACATGTAGTAAAAAAAAAAAAACATGTAGTAATATCCAGTTCAGGTGAGAATGTGTCTATCCTAATTGCTGCAGTGGCTGTGTAAACCGGTTCAACTCTTTGGGTAAACCGTATAACATTAGATACCCAAGTCACAAAAATACTCCTTTCTTTGTTTATTAATCTTGTATAAGAACACTAAGGGGGAAAAGCCAAAATATGAAATGACATCTGTATCAAAAGGTGTTCATCTCAGTTTTTGTATTAGGAAAATAAAAATCTCGACAACCTAAAGTCACCTCTAATGGAAGGAAGCATGAAGAGAAATTATGGCAAATTCACTAAGCAGAATTTTATGTAACTGGAACAGGGTTATAGCAGGATACGTCACTGTAGGTTTTAAAAAATAATAGTTTATTTTTACATCATTTTGTGCCTTTTTCCATCTCAGTTGTAATCTCCGCGGGCTTCCCACCACCAGTTCCCCCATGTCAGAGTAGGTTTTTACCTCTGTGCACAGTAAGAAGACTGCCCGGTCTCAGGAGGCAACGACAACGGGTCTCAACAAAAAGGAAAAACAAAGTGTCCTTAAGGTCACAGATGGCCAGCAGCTTACCTCAGATTGTGCCCACAGTGGCCCAAATTCCCAAACAGCAGGCTGCTCATTTAAGATGGCGCTGTCCTGTCAATGAGGGTGTGGAGCTTGTGGCACAACAGCAAGCAGCAGGCCAGGGTCCAACTCTCTGCAGCTAGAGGTGCTCACACATGGGGCTGTGAGATGAAGCTGCAGCAGCCCAAAGCAAGAGTCTGAGGTCGGGATGGACAGCACCTGACGCTGGATCAGAGGGCAACAGAGGCAGCAGCACCAGAGGGTGATCAGCAGCTCTCAAAAGTGACCAGACACAGAGTGCTGGTCACCAGCAGGGCTGGGCAGCACTGTTTAGCAGTGCTGGTTGGTCACTGGATCACCAGAGGTTGTGTTAGAAAACACCAGCATTACAGCTCTTTGTGAGTTGTTCACTCCTGCCAACAACAAGCTCTTTGAGACACCAGGCCTGGGGCCTTTGGTGGTCTTTACAGGTGATGTAAGAGGCAGGGCCGGAGGTTAAGTGCAGCCACCTGGTCACTGCAATACGCTTCAGCTTCCTTCTTTCTTGGGGGCCAGGACAAACTTGGAGTCTGGGCTCCTGCGAGTCCCAGTCTGGGGCCTGCCCTGCCTTATCACCTCTTTCAGGGTCTTCCACCCTGGTGGATACCTGCCTGAGTGGTCAATTTAAAATCCTAAGTGACTGACTGCACCATTTGAAAACCAATTGGTGCATGTGGCACATAATAATTTAATTGTTGGGGAACATGATGGATACATTCTACAAGCCAGCCCCCTAATAAAAAAAGGCTAGCACAGGGAGGCTCTTTAAGTTCCACCAGCACAGGACCACTGTATAGCTGACCTGCAGCGATGCTGTGGGCACCACTGGTCTGGGTGATGCCCAGAGATAGGGCTCTGGGCAGCCAGTGGGAAGCTCACAGTCAGACTCTGCATTCTAGCCCTGGCTTTGAGGGAGGGGCTGCCTCAAGCCCACTGGAAAGCCGCCCAGCTTCCCCTACATTGCTGCTTTGGTGGCAGTGGGGGGAAATGCCAGAGGTCCTCTGCAGTACAAGCTCAGGCCTCCAGGTTTGTGACCCGTCCCAATTCCAAGACTCCATAACAACATAAACCAAAAGAAGGTATTTTTTGTTTGAAAATACAGGCCATTTAATTTAATCATTGCAGATTAAAATGATGTATCACCAACCGAAGCCATTGTTTTAAGACTGGAATTCTCAACTTTTTTCTTAGAAAAGAGGAAAGAACAAAGGTTTTAGACCTACAGCGACTTTTCATCTGCTTGATCATATTCCCTAACTGCTTTGTGCTTCCGTTTTCTCATTCATAAAATGGAGAAAATATTACTTCTGGTACTCTATTACAAAAGATCAATGAGATGATGCACATAGAAATAAGTGGTCAGGCAAAGAATAAGAAATCAACATATTGTGATTGTTTTATTATTATTATTTTTTTTTACTGTTCTTACTATTGTACTTTCAACTTTCCAAAAGATCTGTTTTCTAACAACTGCAAACGTAATGAAAAGTAAAAAAAAAACTAAAAATGCAGGAAGGAATCCGTTCATTAATTCCAAATTTGGCTTTGAGTCCCATCCACTGTGGGATTCACAAGGTGGAAGCGGGTGTGTGGGGGCTCAGGGGTGGGGGCACCCTGCAGCGCCCGCGTTCAGGCCGGGAGCGGCACTGCCGGGGAAGGTCAGCAGGGGGCGCTGCCGGCGGAGCTGGGACCGGAAGCCATGCAGCAGGAGGCAGGGCGCACTCGCCGACTCCTCCTGCTTCCGCCGCCGCCGCCGACGCGGGACTGCTGAGTTACCGTGTTCAGCTTCTGAGCCCGCCGCCGCGATGCCGCTGGAGAACCTAGAGGAGGAGGGTCTGCCCAAGAACCCCGATCTGCGCATCGCGCAGCTGCGCTTCCTGCTCAGCCTGCCGGAGCACCGCGGGGACGCGGCCGTGCGCGATGAGCTGATGGTGGCCGTCCGTGATAACAGTGAGAACCGTGCGAGCGCCGAGTCAGCGGCCTAGGCCTGGGCCAGCCCCGCGCTCCGGGGCAGCTTGAGATTCTCCCCGGCTCGGTTTCAGACCTTGGGGCGCCCCTCTGACCCAGTCTCGGGGACCAGGCCTGGGTCTCAGTCCTTCCGAACCCTTTTATCCGAACCCTGCATCTCTTGGGCCCTTCCCCTCTTAGAGCAGTTTGGGGAGGGAAGCTGATGTAGGGAGCCCCATGCCAGGGAGGGAACAGTCAGTCGAGACGGGTTCCTGGGGTGTTACTAGACAGGGAGAGTTAGCGATCCCTTTGGAGAAGTTTCGAGACGGTTCTTTCCGTCCTTCCCGGTAGCGATTGGTATCCGACAGTGTGTACTTGCATACCGATGAGAGTATGTGTATACCTGTGTGCGTACGTGTGTGTGAACCTGCTTCCCCTTGCCCCTGTTGGAGACTCTTTGGAACAGAAGTCGTGAGGAGAGAAACCAAAGGTTGGTTTCCACGGGCCTGTTCACTGTGCAGAACCCACAGCAAACTTGTTTTGCGAAGTCTTTTACGGAACTTGGCTCCCCCGAGTCCCTGTTGGTGGGCGACCTCACGTGTATGTGTAGGCAAGAGGTGGGTCCACCGCCTTTCGGTCCTGAGGGGCCCTTGCTCCTAAGTCAACGTCCTTTTTGGCTTTCAGACATGGCTCCTTATTACGAAGCCTTGTGTAAATCCCTGGACTGGCAGATGGACATGGACCTGCTCAATAAAATGAAGAAGGCAAATGAAGAAGAGTTGAAGCGTTTGGACGAGGAGCTGGAAGATGCAGAGAAGAATTTGGGTGAGAGTGAAATCCGGGATGCGATGATGGCAAAGGCTGAGTACCTCTGCCGGATAGGTGACAAGGTGAGTGCAAGTTTCCCCGGTCTGTAGTTTATTTAGTTTTTGTGGTGGTGTCCGTGGATGTGAACCGGGTGTGAACCTCTTGTTTTTCAGGCTCTCTGTAGCTTAAATTGGCACTATTTCAGATTAATAACGTCTCCTTTTTTTTTTTTTTAAATTTACAAAGTACAATGGTAACATGCTTACCTGAGCTTGTGAATTAGTGCAAAAATGAATAAAAAGTTAGCAGTCTTCTTGTTAACCCTCTTCCTATCATCTGCCCTTAAACAGCAGCCAGGCACATAATTTGGCCCTGTGGCAACACAAATAGGAGTGCCTAGCCAGAGCTTTTTGTTTACTGTTTTTATGAAATTGGGATGATCTTTAGTGTCTTCTTTTTCTCACTTACCTCGATTGGGAGGAATTGGTTCTGGTACATTTTAAAAATTACCATTTACACAAGTATTTCTGTGCATACTAATTATATGCTGATGTCTCTCTCTCTAGGGTATAGTAGTGAAATTGCTGGGACAATGAACAATTTTTATTTTAGTATGTGTGACCAGTTCTTTGAAGTAGTCAATTAATTTATATTCCACTATTAGTACATGAGAGGAATACCCTCCAGTATTGGAGCTGTAGAAATTTTTAATGTATTCGTTGTGAAATAGTAGTTAAAAGGATGAACTGGAATGACCTTAATGTAGGCATTGTACCCTGAAAGTACAGCAGGTCCTCAAATGTTTTGTTCATTGTTGTTCTGTTGATGAGGGAAAAGAAAATCCTGTCCACCGTTGATCTGAAGGATGTCACTTAAGGACCTGATTTTGTTATTTTTCCTTTTGCTCAAGTCAAACTTTCCAAGAATTTATTTAAGGCATTTAATCAGAACTTAATGTATTTATATAATGGCTGATATGGTGTTAATATTAAGAAAATTAAGTTCTGTGGGCTCTTGGATTAGTACTTGGATTAGAGTAGTAAACTAGCTGGATACTAGTTTAGCTTCAGTAATTATGATTTACTGGAACTCAGTTTCCTTATCTGTAAAATGAAGATAAGGACAGTTCCTGTTTAATGAAAATTGCCCTGGCCTGGGCAAGGAGCTTAGACTAGTACCTAGCACAGAGTGCTTAAATGTTAAATAACAGGAGCTATTTAATTCAAATTTAAAATAAGAAGTTAAATACATAAAACAGGTACACACACACCGAAAAGTAGCAAATATAGACATGATTTCATTCATTGTTGAATGAATACAATAGCTAAATCAATAAAGCATTTCTGCAACATTTTGATTACAATTATATATTTAAATCCTTGTATCTTAATTGTCGTTGACTAAAATTTTCATTACATTTTGTGATATGACAGATAATTTACAGCAAAGCTATTTTAAGAGTCCAGCGTGCTAACCCTTACACCATGAAACCCTCCTTTGAGCAAAACTATTTTAAAGTAGTGGTTTTTTTTGTTTTCTTTTTATAAATGGGACGAATATTGAAACAACAGTGAAAAGGTTGAGTGATTTTCTTATATTTTTAGAATACTTAGCCTATCTATGTATATATTACACATTATACAGAGATGATAATATAATAAACCTCCATGCAATTATCATCCACCTTCAGCAAATATCAGTGCATGACCATCTTATTTTAAAACTACTACCAATCCCCTATCTCTTACTGAGTCAATCCCAGACAGTTGACAATTTTTGAAAACTTTTCTCAGCTGTTGCCTTGGTTCTCTTGACAGGAGGGTGCTCTCACAGCCTTTCGCAAGACATATGACAAAACAGTGGCCCTGGGTCACAGACTGGATATCGTGTTCTATCTCCTTAGGATTGGCTTATTTTATATGGACAATGATCTCATCACTCGAAACACAGAAAAGGCCAAAAGGTACTTTTTAGCAGTGGGGATATATTTATTCCCATTAATAGATCCTACAAGTAAGAAACTGATGTAAGAAAACAGGTTATTTTCTTTTGTTCACAACTTGTTTACAACTAGACCAATTAGTATATTTGGTCAAATAATTGATGTACTCATTTAGTAAAATATTTTAAGTAGTTCTTTTTGGTTCAAGTTTTCTTTTTGATTGAAAATAATACAAAACTTGTAAAAGTGGAATTGTCTAGCTCCAGATTACGATTTCACTGTTGTGTTTGTTTTCAGTTTAATAGAGGAAGGAGGAGACTGGGACAGGAGAAATCGCCTAAAAGTGTATCAAGGTCTTTATTGTGTGGCTATTCGTGATTTCAAACAGGCAGCTGAACTCTTCCTTGACACTGTCTCCACATTTACATCCTATGAACTGATGGATTATAAAACTTTTGTGACTTACACTGTCTATGTTAGCATGATTGCCTTAGAAAGACCAGATCTCAGGGAAAAGGTAATGACTGAATCTTTAATACTCATGTTTTAAGATGACCTCATCTTGTCTAACATATACAAAAATCACTAAAGCTTACATTTTTTTTTTTAATTCCTAGGTTATTAAAGGAGCAGAGATTCTTGAAGTGTTGCATAGTCTTCCAGCAGTTCGACAGTATCTGTTTTCACTCTATGAATGTCGTTACTCAGTTTTCTTCCAGTCATTAGGTAAGGAAGGCACTGCTTATTTTGATTGTTTTTATTTTTGTTTAGGCTGTAATCTACAATTGCTAAATTATGTGTTCTTTACTCATCCTTTTCTGCTTTAATGGCTTCTCACCACACCTTTGTGCTCTTGATTCCCTGATAATACTTCCATTTTTCCTGACATACTCCCGTATCCTCGTAGACTTCTCAGTGACTGGCTATCGAGAGTTAGTCACTGTCTTTTTCTGTTTTCACTCTGTCAGCAATGATTTCTAGTTCTTATTTACAGCCCTCAACCCTCTATTGAGCACCAGACACATGCCTAAAAGTCTCTTTCATTTCTTTGAAATCTGATAGGTGAATCCACTTGAATATTTCCAAAGTTTTATGCTTGTATGTTATCCATCAGTTTCATCTCTCCCCAAATCCCTTCCAAAGTGAAAAACAATAAAATTTCTCCAGGGTTTCTATTTTGTCAAAACAGAAGCATAAGTAGATTCTTTCATCTTTTGCTCACCTTCTGTATCATAGTCACCGTCTTCTGCTACATTCTATTCTTATTCTTACTGTATTCTCATTCTGGGACTTAGGCAAATGCTTCTTGCCTTGGGCTCTTTATATCATTTGCATTGCACTATGCCTCCTCTCTGCATGGCCTCACAATCTCTCTGCCCTAACTCAGAGGAACACCTCCTCCTCACTCTTATGTCACTGTTTTTATTATTCACAGAACTTGTTATTCATTGGGTATCTTTTATTAATCTTTTTCTTTTTTTTGACAGCTTAGTTTCTGTGGCAGCAAGAATCTTTATTCTGTTTAAAGTCCTAACCTCACTTTTAGGAGATACCAGCTTTCAGCAAAATAATTTCTGCTTATATGAATTACTGATTAGTTGTGTATGTTTGTTCCATTAATCTTTTTCTTATCAACTTAGAAGCTCTTTATAGAGCAAGGCTATTCTTAACATGTTATAAATATGTCCTCTAAGAGTCAAATCTCGTAATTTGTCACCTTACATGTTACAGCTGTTGTGGAGCAGGAAATGAAAAAGGACTGGCTTTTTGCTCCTCATTATCGATATTACGTAAGAGAAATGAGAATTCATGCATATAGCCAGCTTCTGGAATCATACAGGTCATTAACCCTTGGCTATATGGCAGAAGCTTTTGGTGTTGGTGTGGAATTCATTGATCAGTGAGTTTTAACTTTTTTTCTTAAGCTTTCTTTTAATGTGTGAGCTTGTACATTTTCTATGTTTGCATTGCTTTTCTCGATTATTAAAAAATCTACTTTTCTCAATTACAGAATAGGTATATTTATCATCTCTGCTTTCATGGTGTGCCCTTTTACTAGTAGATAAGGAAACTGAATAGTAGAGAGGTTGAGCAATTTTCTGAAAGGTTATTAGATCAGCATAGTTATCAAAGTAATTTTCTGTTCCTACTTTGTGGACCACAATGCCTACCTAGTTAAGTAACCCTTTTTATTTTACAGTAGATAATGTCCCTCTGATAATGCCTCCCAATTTTTAGGTTGCTTCTGTAATCCTGGTTATATTGGTAGTTAAATTTGGGGCTTTTAGCTCTTTCATCAGTGATTCATTAAGTATTTCCTTGAGTGATTGTTTTAGGTACCTGTTCTTATGAACTTTCATTTTATTTGCACAGGAGAGATGGCAAGTAAGTAAATATATATGGTAATTTCAGATAGAAGCAAGTTTTTAGTGATAAGATGGTACAGAAAGGTGCTTGTGGCTGCAGTGGGAAGACTGGGGTTGTCTGGGGGAGGAGGAGCTGCTGGCTTCAGGAGTGCAAGGCCCGATGAAGCGTAGGGTGGAGTTTGCTGTTAATGCAGGTGTCTGGGAAGCCACTAGAGGATTTGAAGGCCAGGAAGACATAATTTCATCCTTTGTTTTATACAGTGCATGGGGACAGGGACACCGATGGGCTGTTAGTAGCTCATGGAGCAGGTCTTTTGGTCACTGAGATGAACCTGATGAGGTTAGTTGGGAGCTAGTAAGTATGTAAATGCCAGCAAGGACTTTGAACCTCTTGAGTCTCTTCTACTAGTCTAGGCAAGTTACGGTAAATGAAAGCCTACACTAGGCTGGTGATAGAGGGAAGTAGTTGAATTGTTGGCTTAGGTGTTAGCATTCAAACTCTAGAGCTGAACAGTAGGCCCTGCCCTCAGCAGAAGGCATTCTTGAGGCCAGTGTATTTTACTTGAATCTTGTTACCTGGTATCTTGCCTTTCCTAAATAAGAACATCAGGATTATTCTTGCAAGGTTCTCCCCTCCGCCATTCTATAGATTTGGGTCAAACTAGTAAGCCTGGTGATGGTTATATTGGATTGTGTATTTTCTCTTGTGTATTTCAGCCTAGTTGCAAATGGAAATAAAAATAAATGAGGATGGTGCTGACCTTTTACAAATTTTATATTTTGCCTAAAGCCACTCTAACTCAAAAACTAACAGTTGAAAGAATAAGCATTCTTCTAGCAATTGGATCAAATTGTATTGATAAAAGGGATGATGTATAAACATGTTCATAGCTCTTGTTCGTTCAGTATAACCTTGAGCTTAACATGTTTACTAGCATGACCTTTTCATTTACACTCAAAACCAGAGTTCCAGAATTTTTTTAAAAACTGTCAAATGTTTTCTAAATACCAAGATGTATGAAGTGACAAAAATGTTTAGGTCCTTTTTATAAATTTCTTTTGGGACACAACTAATACAGAAGGCGTGGTTGGGTCTTTCAACAGTGCTTACGTATTATGATACTTGGTCATTTCTTTGCAAAGGCACAAGCCAAATAGTGTGCTGTGCACTTGTAATCACAGCTCTTGCTCTTTAGGAGGTGGGAGACATGGTGCGTGCTTCTAACCTTCCTCAGCAGCACATGAGACTTAGTTCTTCCCAATAAAGTTCATCTTTGTTGTCCACTTTTTACTGAGCCATGTGTCTGATTTCTAATTCACACTGCAACATGGAGTATGCACATTCATTTTATCCACATTGTCATTTACTTCCTGACTTGGTTTTGATGGTCTTTTCCCCCATGTAGACACTTTTTTCTTTTATGGTTTCTGGGATTTGTCATACTTAGGCTGTCTCAACACTGTTTATTAAGCTAATAACCATTTCCTGTTGATTTGAAATGGGACTTTTGTTACAGATTTGGGGCTTAAAATTTAGAGAATTCCTTTTCTGTTTTTATGTGCTAGAAACAGATGTTTTAATATAATTTCTTTGGTAGCATTATAAAGTTTTCATATGACCTTGTTACACATGATGGTAGCTTTACACTAATAGGTCTCGATTCTAATTTGTTGTGCATATAAGTCTGTCTTAAAAGTAATTTGAAAGCTTCTTTTCTCTTCCATACACTGAAGGATTTAAAAATACTGAATTACAGTTTCATAGGGTTCTTTTCCCTCCCAACCCCATGTTAACTCTTACTTAAACATGAACTATTTTAACTCCATTTAAATATGAAATTCTAAAGTTGTATTTATTTTGGTAGATGGCAATCTGGGGATAATCCTACAAGACCAGGAAAACTTTCTCAACTACTGCATATTCAGTAATTCAGAATTGTGGGAAACTGAATGTTATCTTGAAAGACAATTGAGTCATATATTTAATGCAGAAATTTTCTGTAGGCTAATACTAAAAGCATTTTTCCCCCCTCTCAATTAGGGAGCTCTCTAGATTTATTGCTGCTGGGAGACTACACTGCAAAATAGATAAAGTGAATGAAATAGTGGAAACCAACAGGTACTGTTAAGTTTGTTATATTTCTCATGGGGATTTCTGAATACCTTTTTTTTTTTTTTAAGATTTATCTATTTGTGCATACAGAACTGGGGTACAGACCAGAGACTCAGGGGTGGTGAGAGGCTTCACCAGAGACAGAGTGGGGAGCAGAACAGGCAGATCCATGAAGTACACTGCTGAGGGGAGCAGTGGGCGGGGTCAGGAGAGGTCTGCCACGCCATGTGGTCACCTCCGGGGCAGGAGGGAATCGAACTTATGTGGAAGTTGCTTTAGCTTCTTAGTGCTGTGCTTTAACCCGCTGCGCCACCAGGGAGGGCCTGAATACCTTCAGCTATCGCTTATGAACTAATGTGACTGATAATTCATTTTTTCCTCCTTGAATTTTCAGACCTGATAGCAAGAACTGGCAGTACCAAGAAACTATCAAGAAAGGAGATCTGCTACTAAACAGAGTTCAGAAACTTTCGAGAGTAATTAATATGTAAAATGATGTAAACAAAAAGATTTCCCTCAGATAATTATTTGGGATTTTTATAGCTTACTGCATTGTGCTCATTTCAACTGTATAAAATACTGCATTGTTGTTCTTTCAGTTTACTTGTTTCTTATACCACTAAGGATGAGGTTCAATAATGTTGATACAATATCAAAACATTAATGAAGAGTCATTTAAACATCTCTACCTCAAATTCTGACTCAGTAAAATAGAGGTAATATAAGTAGATCATCTCTTATTTTGAGGCCTCCTGGATTTTAGAATCTACTATATAGTAGACCATAATTAAACTGCCTCTACTTAGTACAGAATAGACTGAAGCTAAATAGAAGTCATTCCTTTACAAACTGCTGCCTTTCAGAACTGCCAAGACTAAGTTGGTGACCACACACAGATATAAAAAAATCTAGGTAGATATTAGGAACTTTCCCCTCACCCTCAACAGTCATAGTGATAAGTAAGGAAAAGAAGTTTTTTCTTCCTATAGTGAACTCAGGGAATGAGAATGGTATAAGTGCTGTCAAGAAATACAAAACTGGAAGAGGAGAGATAGGGTATGAAAGATTCTCTGGTAACAGTTAAATAAAGAGGAAGAAGAGACCCATGGAAATAATCTTGAGGAAGGAGGAGATGGAATGCCACTTGATATTTTCAGTGGAGGAACAGCCTGATTTAAGTGTCACTATAGCACTCGTAGGCAGCAAGGTGGTGCAGACTATAGGCAGCTGGATTTGTTTACAGACTAGAAAGTGAGTTAGGCTATAAATTAAGGAATTTACAGACTATTAAAATACTAGATTTCCAAAAATGCTTATTAAATGATCACCATAATTTCTCGAGGGAATTGTGAATTATCCTTATATAACAAAATCCATTATTCTGAAAATCAGTGTAATCTGTTCAGTCCCAACATAGAGATGGCAATTTTACTGTGTTCCTGTATCCATTTAAAAATTAGTAGAATAGTTCTTAGTAAACTTGACTCATTGCATTTATGCTTGGAGGGAAAAGTAGGATTTAAATGTCAGTTTCTTGAAATTCAGTTATAGTTACTGTTAACACTTGATGAACAGTCTCCATATTTACATGTAATTTTTAACACAAAATCAATCTTTATTACTTAATGTTCAAGAGTTAGTCTATGTAAGCGCACATTAGGGTAGAATGCTTTTAAGCCTCAAATTATCAGTTTGGAGGTGAACATAAAATTGGAAGTTTGTAGATGTCTGAATGAGGTCAGGTGTTGGAAGAAATAGCATTGGATATATTACAGCTACAAAAATTAAATTCTGGCTCCAGCTTCCCTTACCCTAGCCACCCGAGGTTGAAGATATTTCCTTCATCTACCATATGTGAAATGTAAAAGCCAGGTTTATTTTAAGTTTTCACTCATGCGAAAGAAAACACAAACTAAAACATGACAGTAAAATGTATTTTTTACTACATTAATATGGGTGTTAACAGAGGCTATGGTAGACAAATTTAGAATCTTTTTTGTACTTGGTCTCATTAAGTTGACTTTTTTAAAACACTGAGATTTGTGAGACGATGTAGAACGCTAATATCAAGCCCTGTCTATTTGTTTTCTGGCTAAAGTATTTAAAACCTGATAAAAGACTCACCAAGGAAATTTTAAAAAATCAAAGCAAATCAGGATGCAAAGTAGGCTTCCTGATGTTGTTTCAAAGTGGTAACCTATAGGCTGAAACTGACTTGAACCCCCTCCTTGACCAATTCAAAACTGACCTATCTAGCTTCTGGAAAAACTGACAAGTTAGGCTGACTTTGGCCTCACATTTCCAGTCCAGCTAAAAGGCCAGTGTGTATTTTTAACACTCCTAGGTCACTCAGCCCACCTGGTACTTTACACACCTGGGCCCCTGCCATTGCCCCCACACACGCTTCATATTGTGCACACGGGGTTGACAGCAGGCGGCCTGTTACTGAGCTCGGAGAACCCAGCCAAAGAATTCTTAACCTTTTGTACTTCTGGAGCTTCCACTTATATAGCTTGCATTTAAGTTTTGAGTTTTCTGTTTTTAGTCATCAAGTACACCTTCATAAATTATCATCAGATGACTTTTTATTTGCTAAATGACACAGAGCTAAAGTACTTAGTTCCTTTTCAATATTGGTGAATGCTTCTATTAAAGGTGGAAACTTGGTCATTTTATGAAACCTAGTCTCAATACACTGTCCCACTACAAAATGGAACCACCAGAATTAACTCTTTTGTGATTACTTTTTAAAGCAATTTTTATTTCTATAATAAAATTGTATATCCATAAATCCACACTGACTCTATTTAGAGTCAATAAGTAAATATTTAAAAGCTATTACCATAATTATATTAGTATCTGTAGATTAGTTTTTGTTTGGGCATGGAAATATGAAAAGCTGTTTTTGTTATTAAATGTCTGCACCTACCTTTCATCTGATGAAAAAAGCTTGAAAAGATGCCACATAGCATGCACACTAGAGCACACTAAAATTTTGAATGAACATTTAGCCCTTAGTAATCTAAGCAATAACATTAATACATTAACATTAATAGATCGATTGTATAATTCTCAATCCTTGGTACTTTTCAGCTTACTTTTTAAAAGAGGAATGGCAGCTGATACTTGAAATATTATTCTCATGATTATTTTTAAAAAGGGGAGGTGGCTGTTAGCTTACTAATGCTGGGCAAACATGTAGTTATTAGTAACAAATCTCCACCATGGCAGTGGGGGGGGAGTGAAGTTAAATCTCAATGTGGAAAACATGAAAAGCTCTAAGAAACCAATGGGTTTGATCTCAAAGCCATGGAGTCACAGGTTTGCATTATTTTTGTGAATCCTACAAAGGATATAAAGAATTTGTAGCAGTTTGGTCCAGTCTGCTAACCTCTTTCAGAAATCTGTAATAGCAGGAGAGACAACTTGCCCATGACCCTTCAGTTCAGTTGGTGTACATACACATCTTAATCCTGAAGTTGCCTTGGGGTAGTGACTGGCTAATCAAGACTGACAACTTCACCAGCCTTCAGTGTTAAGGTTACCAGAGACCTGCTTTTCCAAGTGTCTATAATTAGTGCAGTATCACTGCTGATAAAATTCTCCACTTGGTTTTGAGTCTGCTTTTCTTGAAACCCGCAGAGTTAGACATTCCTCATGCATACACACCTCAGGAATGTGGGGCCAAGATGAATGTACGGTTTTCTAGTTTCTAGCGCTCCTTGTTCCACCCTCACTCAAAACGCCTTCCCTTTGAGCTGCTTAGTATCTGGCAGTACCATCCATCATTGTGCTCACTGCCCTCAGACCTTTACGTTACTCATTCTGGTTCCCCCTAGATTTGAACAATTAGCTCCATCTTCCTATCAACACTGGAACTTTGAAATGTAGTAGACACTGGTGCCCTTGGTGCTTCAGTTTTTTAGCCTTAAGACCAGCGTTCTTTGCCACCACAACACTTCCATCTACTGCCATGTTCTCACTCAGGACCCATGAAATCACAAGGACCACTGAACAACTCTGCTTTTGATCGTAAACTGGAAATTCCACTCAAACCCTATGATCCTGTTTTTCCCTTCACTGACCTATTCCTAAAAGTGTGTGCCATCAGCACTGGTGCCTGGACTGCCCTGCATGTTAGCCCCTCTGTCATCTGAGCATGCACTTCATCGGTGTCTGATTCCGTAACTTGTCTAATCATGGAAAGTGAATCGCAAACTTCACAAGTGACTATCTGTAAAAAAAAAAACATCTCAATAGCCACTGTATAGATGGTATACAGTAGTTCCTAGTTCTTTTCCCTGAATGCCTCATCTAGTCATCTTGAATCACCTAGGTACACCCTCACTCCTCTCTCTGGCAGTCTCCTTACACAATTCTACCTTTGGTACACTAGCAATACCCGTTGTTCCAATTATCCTGGAAAAAGTAACAGGAGAAAAAAAAAAAGCAGTTGGTAACTCCCAAGTAGTTAACTGAGCATCTAACCAAGCCATCTCCACACCTCATCCTCTGCCAATCCTCATCTGACCTTTTAACACTGTAGAGTCAGTTCTCTCTCTTCAAAATACTGTGCAGTTTTGTCTTGGGGCTTCTTCTCTTTCTGGGCCAAGGAGGTGCTTTCAGGTTTGTGAGATCCTGGAAATAGAACAGAAGATGAGATACTGCCTGTCAGATCCATATGATTCTTGGAATTTGACAGAAAAAACAGAAGCACTAAATTGCCAGAATTCATTCCAACGCTTGGCAATGCCACCTATTTGTGTGGGACCTTGGGCAATACACTTACCTTCTTAGAAGTAAAGGAACTCTAGTTTGACTAAGCTGGTTAATGAAATTTAAGTGAAACATGATGTAGTAATGGAGAATACACAATGATGAATTTGAGTTGCTAGAGCAGAGTTCAAGTATGGCACCCAGTTGGCTGTATGTACATTCTGGATGGAGCTTAAGAGGGAAGGTTGTGCTGTAGAGGTGCAGGATTATCTTATGATTGAAAACAAAATACTATTATTTTTTTGAGAAAGATACAAAAAATACGTGTTAAACTATCTGGCACTCAGCTAGAAAAGCCTTAACATAGTACATTACAGCTTATAAATTATGGAGATAGCTACCTGTTTTTTTCCCTTGGTAGGAAAGGTTATTTTTCCTCATGAACTCTAATGGCTATATTTACTACCTAAAAATGAAAGAAAGCCCTCCACTTCTATTTTCCAGCACAACCTTCCCTCCCAAGCTCCATCCAGAGTGTAAATTCGCCCAACTGGGTGCCAAACTTGAACTCTGTGCCAGCAACTCAAATTCATCATCGTGTATTCTTTTCTATTACTATATCATTTCACTTAAATTTTGTCAACCAGATTAGTCAAACTAGAAATCTATTACCTTAAACTCCCTCTCCCCTTAGTGCTAACCATAATCAAGGTCTTTTGATGCTGACACCAAAAGGTCTCTGGAAATGGTCCTCTTTTTATCAGCATGGTCAGTCTTATACTTTGGAAACTTAATAGCTCTTACCTGGACTATTTATTGAGCAGTTTGGCAACTTACTTTTTTTCCAAGGTTCTCCTTTGTCCATTCCATCCTCCATAGTTCTTGGAGGGGGTCTTATGTGGTTGAAGATTTTTTAAAAAGTGTTTTAAGTTTTTTATTTTTCCCTTAACTGACAAGTTTCTTTGGCTGTCTCATATTCTCCTATCTGCTAAGAGATACGCTGCTAGTGCCAGCTTTGGTGTATGTATGAGCTTAGGCCCTGGAAAATGAGAACAGGCACCAAGAACTGCACATTTAGAAGGTAAAATACCAGTTTAACGCCCATTAGCAAGCAACAGGAGAAAGTGTTTTGCTTGAGAGTGGAGACTGAAAGAACAGAACATGGATAGAAGGAGAGGAACTTAGGCTTGATTAAGACAGTTCTAGATTAGGATTTGGGAGTGTATTGAAGACAGGTTGGGAGTGTATTGAGGCAAAGGAGTGAAAATACAAGAATAAAGGAGAGATTAAAAGGCTCCTTTGATGTTCTACCATCTCCAGTAAAGATTTGCACGGCTTTTCTTTTTGGCAGTTGCCCTATGCTGTGCTGGGAATGGACCATGATGTATCTCTGCACTTTATGTTCTGAAGATGAAGGTCCCATGCCATTTAAAGTCCTTGTTGACATGCTGGTGCCAGTTTGTCCCTTCCAGCAAGTGTCGCCCAGAATTAGTATCCAATCCTTTTTTGACACCTGTGGTTTCCTAGTTACCTCCCTCTACCTAGAATGACCTCACTCTACCTTTCTACCATTGAATTTCCATTTGCCAATTCCAAAACTACCACATATATACACACGCTCAAACTGGGATAATCTTGCTATCCATGGCCAGGTCACCTGCAAGGGAAGGAAGTAAAAAGAGTAAGAGATTGATTTTTGTGAGTGAACCTTTGGAGGAGGAAGCTCAAGGTGAATGGAGTTGTCTATAGGGTGCTTCTTAGAAATGCATTTGAGTGGAACTGATACAAGAAGTGAGCAGTCAGTGGGGTTGTGGGGGCTAAAACCAACCCAATACCTTTGCATAAGAGATGACGGTTATTTCTGATACACATAACAGCTGTTCCCTTTTTATTTTATTTTCTTTAAAGATTTATCTATCCATGCATATAGAACTATCCACGTAGGCCAGAGGTACAAAGGCGGTGAGAGGATTCACCAGAGACAGAGTGAGGAGCACAACAGGCAGACTGAAGAAGCACACTGTCGATGAAGCACATTGCTGAGGGGAGCCACGAATGGGATAGGAGAGGTCTGCTGAGCCATATGGGTCAGCCCCCTGGTCAGGGATCGAACGTGTGAGCTGAAGTGGCTGTGGCCAACTTCACAGTGCTGTGCTTCAACCAGGCAGGGCTCTGTTTCCCTTTATTTTAAGCAACAAAAACACTTTGTAATGGGTTAGAATGATTTATTTGTAAATGGTAAAACAGGCCAAGTTTCTAGAGATAAAAGAGTATGCTGTACTCTACTATTAAAAAATGCACTCATGAAAGGGAGGCATTAAAAGCAAAGAAGAGATCAGACCAACTCTGTATAAAACTTACCTCTGACCAAAACTGACCCCATGCCATCTAATTCACGCAAGTCTTATTGGGAATGTGTTTCTCAATCTATTAACTCCCCTTTGTTTCCTTTACAAACCTGCAGGACAGAATGTGGTAGTATCCACTGCTGACAGTTATTAAGTTATCCAAGGCAAAGCTGTGTGCCCAAGGGTGGAAACACCCTCAGCCCTTAGAGAAGTATTTAACTTATAAAGAAAGGAAGCTAAAGGAAGGTTCACCAGGATATCTGATGGCAAAACCAATGACTGAAAAGGATTTATTATCACGAGGCAGAAACATGTGAAATATTTCATGCAGCCAACCTTATTTATTGAGAAGTCCTAATTTTATTGCCCATTTAGCAACATGTTTGTTCAACAAACTAATTTCTCATAAAGCAAAGCACAACTTTTTCTTATAAATAGTATAAATTATTTTATTTACAGAAACTTGTTACAAAACAAATAGACTATATATTTCTTCTCTTTTAAATATCCAAAGTAATTTTCTATCCCTTGACATTTGTTCATGTTCTATACAGCAGCCAACACACAAGTCCAGCTGAGATGCTCTTGATTATGTGTACAAATTATCAAACTATTCACACATTTTAACACAGGAGATTGCTTTTATAACCAAGCTCAGAAACAAAACAACAGCAAAATGTCTTCAAGGCCCTACATTCACACTGACAGTATGTAGTGCTCATTTAAATGATCTGAAAATTTAAAATGTTTTGCACAAAATGTAAAAATGATTATTTTCTGCTAAACAATGAAACTTTTAACAATCATTTTCAAAGCCCCGTTCCCCTCCCCCCAGGACATAATGAGAGATATTAAGAAATTCCTTGGCAACAGAACTCTTGTAGGAAGACAGCTGCCTTTATAAATTACATTTTCCAAATTATATATTTTTCCAATATTCTCAGAGGTACTTGCATTATATTTTTGGAATACAAAATATTTTAAATATTCTATTTTAAACTCTATATTTCATGAGTGAATAACAAAACGGACATATTGTGTAAGCTGCTGGCTGACAGAGCAGAGATTTTGGAACCCGTGGTGCCAGTGGACACTCCGTCACCAATTCAATTACTGTGAACCAAAATGTCTTAATTTAAAATACCTTATAAAATTACCAACATTGGTGGTTTTCAACTCCTCCCCTAAAAATTCTTGAAATAATATTTAGGTGGAAAAAGCAACTCCAAAAGTTCAACTGAACATTCAAGTCTTTTTAAAGAGAGTCTGTCTATGCTTAAAACTAAGTTCAGGCACTTTCAGTTTTTTCCCATTAGTTTTATATCACATCACATACTAGTAACACACATGTGCTCAAGGTACACACACACCGAGAAAACGTGCACGCACGCGCGCGCGCGCGCACACACACACACACACACATAAAACACTAATGAAAGAAAAGCAGTGTGTCACTTAGTTACATGTAGTCTATGGGGAATCGGCAATGAGGGAGAAGCAATGCCCACTTCATCTGTATGAATCCACTCCCGAGACATTAAAAGGGACAAAAAGACTTTCACGGAACAGAGGCATCCCTTAAACTGTAAAGGAGGCAGGTTCTAGAACTATTGGCTTGGCAGTGAACCACTTCAAATTATAAAAAGGTTTTTACTTTTATTAATTAATAAATAAATACTAGATGATCTCAATTGTACCAAAACAGGATATCAGAAAAAAAGACCTGTGCAAAAATACATATTTAAATATGTACAATTCATTTTTTAACAAAATATGTCTTCTGAAATAGGGATACTTCCATATTTATAATAGAACAAGAAATTCCAAAATAAAGATACAAAAGTAGGTTTTGTATAATTCTTTGTTCATCATTGCAGCACTTTATTTTTGTAGGTTAAGAAAACTGCAGGAGTTGTCATGAAATTCTATTGGAAAGAATATAAAAATTATCTTAGTTTTAAATTGATACCAAAGTCTGTCTAGAAACAACCCAACCACTGCAAATTTGGTTTCTGCAAGTTAATTTAATTCAAAAAAATACTTGTACTCCCATGTTTTAAATGGTCTTAATTGTTCATCAGTAATAAAAAGTAGTTGTAGGAGAAAATAAAATATTTGAACAACAGTCTAAAATTTAATAGCACTGTTTAGTATAGGTCTGTTTGTGGCAGGCAGAATCCAAAATGGCTAAATTCCTAATCCCGATGTTCTGTGTACTACCGGGAGACATAATGAAATTCAATTAAAACCTCATTCTAAGAAATCAAATGATCAACACTTGCTAATCTAAATATCTACATTATTCTGAATCAACTTACTACCATGGATCCTATTCACATCTTTTGGAACAACATGATCTGTCTATAAATTCCATCGCTAAAAGCAATTTTATTCATAACCATCAAGTCCCCTTGGCTCTGAAAATAAATTCTACCCACACCCCATTGCACTTGTCACCAAGGAGTCAATTAAGAATATCCTGACTCCTCTTACCTCCTTTCTCTCCTTCACTGGGATGGAACAACCAGACTGATTTTTTTCTAAATGCACCAAACTGGCCCATCCATGCTCGCTCCTTACCATTTTAAAAACATCTGCTGACTGATTGCATAATAAGTGAAAAAGATAATGTTTTCTCCTTTCCTTAAAAAAAAAAATCAATATTTTACATCAATTTATAGCTAAAGTATCTGCATAATTTTTTGTTTTCTTACATAATAATTCCGTAGCAATTCACATTATTAGGCTGGTAACCAAGTATTTATTCATTCTACCTGTTGTTGACTTGAAATTCCCTGAAAATGAAGTTTGTAACTCAAGGATTGTGTGGGGGAAAAGACGCACTGGCTGGCTCTGCCCAGCCCAGCCCAGCCCAGCCCAAAGCAAGGATTAGAGCTTTAGGAAATTTACCCTGTGTTTAAGCAACTCTGTGTGTTGTTCTCAGCAAAAGTGCCTGGTTCTTATTTCAGGAGCTGTAATGATGGAATCACCTGTGAAAAAGCCCCAGCTCAAACATGAAACCTCAAGCAATAATGTATTAGCATCTTTTGTTCTTTTTGAGGGCAGTGGGGTTAGAAAAATATCCTGAAGGGTCTCCATAGTTCTCCCAGGAAGATGGCTGTCAGTAACACCAAGCAAAGAGGGTGTTGGGGAAATACAAGATACACGTTCACATATCTCTGCATGGTAACCTGTACACTTCACCAACTCCCCTCCCTGGGTGCCTCCTCCCCACCCCCAAAAGCATCCCGATAAACATCTGTAGTGGCACAATGGGGACCAGACACACACACACGATATGGGGCATAATCAAAGCAGAAACTGACACTCAGGCCCAGGACAATCCAAAGAGGCGGCTGTGTTAGTGAGGAGTGGAAACATGTAAGAGTATAATGACGTTGTGAGTGCTGTTTCTGCTACATCCTAATATTTTCACTTTACAAAGGCAATTGTTTGATGATGGAGACTAGGCAGGTCATCAACTAACCTAATCTACCAAGTCTGTTTAACATACAAAATTAAAGAATAAAAAAATTCCATCTCTTTGGAAAGTTTGGAGAAAAATTTTCCCCATAGTGACTTTTTCCACTTGCTCTCTCCCCAACAATTTGGCTTTCCTATATCAAAATTAGTTTGCATATGAATTTTCCTTTATCAAGGAATTGCTTTTGAGTGTACCATGAAGAGTAAGCCTCTAAAATGGTGCATGCTTGCTCTCTGGGCATTAGTGGCTCTAAATCAGTTTGTAAGTTAGAAACTTGTGACCGCTTCTTTCCAAAGTTATTTGTAAAAGGCTGGACAAAATGCAGGCTATTTTGTCGTGGTGCCACGCCCCTAACATTCCTATCCACGTGTACAACACCCTTAGCAAGACAACATCAGATCCCCTTCTCCGGAGGCTTGCTCAGGGTGCAGCTTGGTCTCTCATCTGGAAGATGTTTCCAGTTAAGGTGCCTGGAGGCCTACAGAAGACAGCATAAAACAAGAACTGGGGCAGGGAAGAGTAGGAACAAAGTCTAAAGTAATTTTCCTGCCAAAACATTCTTTCACCCAGCCAATCTACTCAGAGTGGCTCCATGATATACTGCAAGTTAAAAAAACAAAACCAAAGCTTCTCACAGACTGTTAGCGAGCAGTCCAGACCACTTTAACACTGATAAAAGCAATTCGGTGGCTGAACTTGATCCAGTGTCCTTTACAAGTACTCACTGCTACAGACATAGACAGCTTCAGGGAAATCCTCGTTAAACAACAGCCCGGCAGATTTCTACCCTCGAGGCCCACAGGAGGTTGGGAAAAACAGACTCAAAGGCATCGTGGAGTCCAGATTGCTGAGTGGAGGTGTAACTTGTAGCCAAAGTGTCCAGATTATTCCTCCCCGTGTTTTTTCATCTGTCAGGGACGTGCCTTTGGCTTTCAAAAAAGAGGGGGTGGGGGAATAATGACAAGGTAAGTAAGTGGTAATGCATGGCACTGCCCCATTCTACACCAGAACATTCCAAAGGCCACATGCTACTTAAGTCTCCACTGACTGGGTAGTGCCAGGAGCGGTCAGCTGCAGAACACGACCTCAGCTCTAAAACACCTTCACTGCTCTCAGGCACAAGCATTCTACAAGACTAAATTCTAGTAAACTGTCCAGAAGAGATGCAGGCTAAATTTTCTAGCTTAGGAAAAAAAAAAAAACTCACATTTACCTTTTTGTTTTATTTGCTGATTTGGTTTCCTTGTTTGAGAGTAGGTAACTCCAGGTTGTTAAATGAAAAAGGTCAAGTGGGCTAACACACAGGTGTGAAAACTCACACCAATACAGTGCCCATGCCAGGGAGAGAACTCTGGCCTTCACCATCCCACAGTGAACTATTTTTAAGTCCTTGGTGGCAGAGGCCTTGAACAGAAACCAGGGCGTGGGGTGCAGGGAGGGAGTAGGGTGCAGCTCAGCATTGCATCCCCTTGTCACCAGGAACAGTGAGTTGAATCTTTTTTAAGTAGAGCCATCTTTAAAGCATTTTGGAGTTAGGAATCCCTTTGATTCAGATGAAAGTTGTAGGGCACTCTTGCAGATAAATGTGCATAAACAAAAATATGCAACACTTTTTTAGGACAGTTCACTACGTCTCTGAACTCTAGCCATGGGTCTACTATGGTTTTTGTAGCGTAATAAAAAATATCCCACTACACAGAGAAAAACCTGTCTCAAAGTTGATTTAAGGAAAAGAACCCAAACGTGTTTGTCATAGTGGGATGTATTGCCCCACAGATGGTGAATTTTAGAGGTGGCACAAGGATAGTTGATAAGCCAAACTTAGACAAGAGATGTGTGAACTACCACAGTTTAAAAACCATAAAAACAATGTAGTTTTAAAAAAAAGTCCATAGGGCTTCCTTGGTGGCACAGGGGTTAAAGTCTCAGCACTATCAAGCTATCAGTCACTGTACATGAGCTAGATCCCTGGCCAGGGAGGTGACCCACATGGCACTGCAAAACTCTCTTGTCTCGCCTGCTGCTGCCCTGAGCATTGAATTTCAGTGGATCTGCCTGTTCTGCTCCCTACTCTGTCTGGTGAATCCTCTCATCCTCCCCCCTGCTCCACACCTCTGGCCTACACCCCAGTTATATGCATAAACAAACAAAAAAACTCTCAAAAAAAAAAATGAAGAAAATGTCCATAATTCTAATCCAAGTCCAGTTGTGGTTTCTTTTTGAAACTGGTTAACAAGTTGCTCGGAGCAGTTTTTCCTCAGAGAAGTATTTTCACAGTCACTGTTTCACACCCCGCCATCCCACTACCTCTCCCCTCTCAACGTCTCTCTCTCCTTTCTGTTCCCATGGACATACAGGTCTCCAAGACAGCAAAGAAATGGGTGTGGGCATGACATGGGATGGTGTACTGTCCTTTGGGATTTATTACATCAGGACAGTAGGAGGAAGGGAGTTTTAAGGGATTGGAATTGCATCTTGCTGTGCTTGCACTGTGTTTTTATGCTTATCATAAACCATAACGAGTAACTACAAATCAGGAAGTAAAAGCACAATTTACATCTGTCCGGGAACCCCCTGCTTAAACAGCCAAATAACACACAGACAGCTCTTTGGGCATAGTACTCAAGCAGGGCTCCGGGGCGGTGCCACTGAAATTCCTGTTAGTAAGCAAGGTGAGGAGATAACCTGACAAATGAAGGAACAAGGTGAGCGAGGTGCTGAAATAAGAGCAAAGGAAGCTGAAAGAAAAGGTTTGCAGTAGAAAACAGTGACATGAGAAACAGCTGGGGAAAGACAAAGCTCCAGGGCAAGGTGTGGGGACGTGACCCCGATGCCACTCGCCACTCTCTATTAAAGGGCCACATTTAGTCTTGTTAGTCTGCTAACCACTTTCAGTCTTCTGCTATGCCCAAACTGACTTACGTTTTCCTGACTCTGTTGAAAAACAAGGGTGAGAAAGTACAGATGAATTTAACCAGGTAATTGGAAATTCTTTACTGGGCAAAGTATTAAAAGTTTTCTTTTTAAAATTTACATCATCACATTTTGAGATGGGTTTTGATTTCAGCCCAGCCTTCCTCAGAGGAACAAACTAGAGACTCTCCAGGAAACACTGCCTGCTTCCTTCCTGTGGTCATCAACACAGGGAACAAATTGCCCAAGAGGCCTCATTTTTTGGCTACAAGAGAATTTTGCTATTAAGAGGGCTCCCACAGGCCTATCTGCTAAAATGTACTTCCAGGATTTCCTTAACCAGCAGTGTCTTCCAGTCTTCAGAAAAGAGCCTGCTTCCTCTTCCATGGCCTCATCCTTCTTTTAAAAGATACCATGAAGCAAACCACCCACCCAACCGCACAATCTGAGCCAGTAAAGGTTCTCAAGGGAGAGGAAATGGGCCCCCCCACTGGGCTCACAGTCCATTTCCTACCTGATGGAGGAGGGTACTGTTCGTCAGTCCTTGTGCCCCTGGGCTGGTACCCGAGTGTTTCATGTGGATGTTATTCATGGCTGGCAATTTGGCAACCTTGGTGGGTTTGCTGCTGCTGCTGCTGCTGCCGCCGCCACTGCTGTTAATGCTGCTTGAGCCAGGCGAGCACTTCCTTTTCTTTCCTATGAATTTGTCTAGAGGAGTGTGTGTGTATGAAAAACTGCCATGGGAGTTGACAGGCAGTTCGCTGGACTGGTGAATGAACGGGCCAAGAGAAAGTGTAGAATCACTGCTGTTCATCATCACACTCATCCTCTTGATGGATTCAGCAGGACTCCCGCCGGGGGGGCCCCTCCCTGACTGGTCATGCCGGACACTCACCAAGTTCGTTTTTGTTGCCACACAGTTGAGGCCGATGCCATGGGAAGATGTTACTGTTGAGGTGTAGTGGGGCCCAGAATGAGCCACACAGTTTTTCCTAAAAGACTCCATGGAATGAGAAGAAGAAGAGGAGGACGAGGAGGAGGAAGAGTGAATTAACTGAGGGGAACTGTTTTTGCGTTTCTTTCCTGAGCCGCCACTGGTACTGCTACTGGCGTTGTGACAGTTAGTGCTACTACCAGAAGACTCCTTGGGCCGTAAAGACTTGCTGGATTTCAACTTCTGAGGTTTTCTGGACATGGGGGAGGAGGGCACTGAGGAAAGGCCAGAGGGCGTGGATGGGGATGAGGATGAAGAGGACACTTGTCTGGATTGCATACTACACACAGGATCCATTGCCCCACACACGGCAGGCTGTGCATTTAATGTGGTTCCATGTGCTGGTACCGATTTGTTATTTGGGGAGATACAGGTGGATGAGAGCAGGACTGGGGGTGTAGACACAGTTGCTGCTGCCATACAGCTGACCCCACATTGTGATGTCGGCACAGAATTTGTCCGGTGAGGAACACGGGTGGAGACTGGTGATGTGGTGCTGGGCACTGGTGGGATTTTCCTGCCAAAAATGAAAAAGTAGTGAGGGTAGCCATTCATGGAAACTTTCAGATGTATATCCTTCCACCTCTGACGCTGAAGACCACACCCCTGACAGCTGTCTGAAACCAAAGCTAATCCTGTCACTTTTACCTTCAAATTTTTATCTCCTTCAAATCCTTTAGGCATTCCCAGAACTCTCAGGATATGAGCACCCAGCCCGATGCCACTGCCTCAGCTTCCTCCAGCGCCAGCCCTCAAATACCTGTTTTCACCACTGAGTTGCCTTAAGTTGTTAGAATATACCATGATGTAAAACCCCAAATATATCTCCTACACCACTCTTATCCTGACTTCTGCTTGTCATTTAGATTCAACTCAACCCCGCTTTCTTAGAAAATCTGTCCTTACTGCCCAGCCCTGCCCAGACTTGATGACGCAGGGGAATTTTAATTTATTATTAGGTGTCTGTCAGAAAAAGCAACTGTCTGACTTCTTTGTAGACAGAAATGCCCACAGCTTATTTACCACTGTAGCCTCAGTGACTAGCACAGTGTTTAGATATAGAAGATGCTCGATGAATTTTGAGAAAATTCATGACTGGATGGGGGAAAAAGGGAATAGTTAATTAAGAACAAGTGCCAGGTCCTAACTATCACCATGAACAAGGGAATGAAGCTCCCAATCTTGAGGGACTTCTAGTCACAGCATATAACAATGGGTTCTGTTACTAATGCCTGGGTAGGTGTCTCTCTTGGGGAAAGGACACGACTCAAATAATCAAGTCAGGAATAGCTTTCTTAATTTTAGCTCTGATTTTGAAATGTGACAGTACCAAAAATTTCAAAATTCTCTAGGGAAGAATTAACACTGGAGTCAAAGTAGCAAAGGGCGTGACGGGGAGACTGCTGCCAAGACTAGTCCCCTCCTGACTTTATGGGGCAGCTCTGACTGACCCAGTAACCCCACGCTCAGGCTCCACTTCCTCATCTTTCAAGTAAGACAGCTGGCCTAGATTGCTGCCAAACTTACTTTCCACATGCTTTTTAAAAGATGCTTTTTAAGAAGTCATTAATAAAATGAATTATTTATTGCAAATGTTTGCACTGGCTTTAAAACACTCATTTAGGAGTATAGCTCTAAGCCTATAGCTCAGATCCTAAGTCAGTGTTTCTTTTTCTTTTTTTAAGACTTATTTACTTATGCATACCAGAACTGGGGTACAGGCCAGAGATGTGTGGGGAGGGGTAAAAGGGTTCACCAGAGACAGAGTGGGGAGTAGAACAGGTGGACTGACCGAAATACACTGCTGAGGGGAGCAGCAGGCAAGACCAAGAGAGGTCTGCTGCACCATGTGGGTCAGCTTCCTAGCTGGCGATCCAATGTGCTGCAGTGGCTGTGGAGAGCTTCAGAACGTGGGACTTAACATCTTGTACCACCAGGGAGGTCTTTAAATCAGTGTTTCTTAACTGCTTGTCCAGAACAACCAAAACTACATCCAGACTACACTAGAATCTCTGGGGTTGGGGTCCAGATATTAGTGGTTTCTAAATTTCTCCAAGAGAGTCTAAAAAAGAAGGCAAGCTAGAAAGGCTGGGCTTTATACCCATGCTCCTCATGGAAGGCATCCAGCAACATTATATGAGAGGATTATAAGAAATGATGAGTTCCTGGGCCCCACTCCAGACCTACTGCAGCAGAATCTGTATCTCACCAAAGACCTACAGACTGCACCTTTGAGGTACAGATGCTCGTTTCACTGGGTGTAGTGGCTACTCAAAACCACTAGGTGGCTTAGGAAGTCAGGGCCCAAAGTCTAGGAGGCTGGAATCAAATCCTGGGAAAGGGATTATATGGGCTTTTAGAGAAGAGAGGATGTGGATTTCTCTGGACAAAGCTCCTTATAAAGCTCTTTTAAGTCATCCACTATCTGTGTGTAAATAAGAGACAAATTAGAATATGCAGTCATACTGACCCATATTTGCATGAATGAACTAAAAATATGTAAGCACCTACTAATAATGGCAGTGTCTGTGGTGATAGGATGGGAAATAGGAGTGTACAGGGCAGGAGGGTTAAAACTTTACTGTATATCTCTTTATACATACATACATATATATATATATATATATATATATATACACACACACACACACACACACATATTTTGCTTAGCCAAGTGAATCTATTACCAATGTCAAAATAAAAACCACCATCATCCAACACAAAAATCCCAAAACCCTTTGATACCCACTCCAGTGGAATAGTGGTCCCCCGCCACCCCCCTAAAAAAAGCAGTGGTCAAGAGGTTGACAGAAGCAATAGGAAGGAGCTTGGAGGTGGCCTTTGGGTCAAATCCAAGATACAGAGAAGGGCTGGTCTCATTTCACCAGCAATCAGAGATTCCACACACAAGACAACACATTTCATTGCTATTGCCTAGATCCCACCTCTTCTTATCCTGCAATTGGCCACAATCAACAACTAAGGGAGCTAACAGTCCCAAACTGGGGATCTTCCTTTAAGGGAGGCCTCTGTATTGAGCCAAGAGTCAGACTTGGACCATTTCTCAGCATTTCCTCGAATGCCTCAAAGATGCCACCTGAGACCAATTCTCTCTCCTCTGTTGAGAAGTGCCAAGCCACTCCTAACAAATCTCAGGGGATGGATGCCTCAAAAGGTTGTTTGAGTCCACTGGCTACATTCCTGTTGGGACTGTTTCTTTAAACACCTGGTGTGGCACTTCTCTCTGAACTCCTGTCTGTCCCACTCTGGGCCAGCTCACCATGGTGCAATATGTCGCTCTTGCCTGTACAGACTTCTTTCAAAGCAAAGGTCATGTTAATGGAAAGAAATGTTTTACTCCTCAATGGAAATGAGTGATAAGACAGTGAGTTTTGGACAGAAGAGAGTGAGAAAGAATAAGAATGAGAGAGAGAGAGAACACATTCAAGAGCTTGCTTTTACAACAGTTCACAGTACAAAGAAGAAAACATTTCTACTCAAGCCCCTGAGACTATCTTCACCCAATTATCAGCCATACAACATGTATCAGTATGAGGACAAAGCATTCTAAGACCCTTCCAAACTTCAGTTTACTAAACATAGAGTTGAATGAGTTCACTGAACTCCAATGTCTCATGAAACATAAGTTGAGATTTCATCCATCTTGTGAAGTTCTGATATGATTAACACCCCCCCCTCCACATACACACCAAAAACTCAAAAACCACTACCCCAAGTCATCTGTCTCTGGCAAAGATAATGCTCTTCAAAGAAGAGGAGTCTCTTAACTAGCTTAATAAGCAGGAATAAATGTGACCTAGAAATTCTGACTTTATTAAGAAACCAAAGCAAGGAGGCAGCAATCACTCAAATGATGCCCAAATTGGGATAATTTGGGTAACAAAAGAGTCCCCTTTAGTTTCCAAATACTAGTTCTGCCAAACATTAGCTCCCCAATCATTTAAGAACTTATCTGTCTTAAGAAATGCTTGGAAGATGTTCCACATCATACACAACCCTGCTGAACTACAATGGACAGCACCCCATTAAAGACTCCAAGAAGTCTTACAGGAATGAATATTATTTTACTTCAGAAAAGACTGAGGTAAAACTCTGCAACTGCTCTTCTACTTAAAATCCTGTTTGGAAAACACTAACGTACATAATACCACACACGATGCTTGTGTTTTATCTTCAACTGTAAATCAGAACACATGCTTCCTGTACCTTTCTCAGCGGTCCAATGCACTCAGGATCAATTCCAGTGGCATCTATCGGTCCCTGATAACCTCTCCATCTTGTCTTCTACAGTGATGGTGTTCCTGCTATTTCAAACAATCCACATTTTTTGCTGACCTGAACACACCTGTTTTTTTCCTGCCTGGAACTCTCTCTTGCCCCATCCCCATCACTGCTCTTTCTCTCCATCTCTTTGCATTCCACAGGCACTTCTTCAGACATGCAATCCTCTGGCCTACTGAGTTACGCATCTCAGTTCCCTTCCTGGAACCCTGTCTCTGGGTCCAAAATCTGGGCTTACCACTGACCTTCTGTGTGTAAACTTGTTTCTAAGTTGTACAATCTGTAAAAAGGGGGTTAATCAAGGGCACCTGACACAGAACACTGCAAATTAAATGTGTTTAGTAACCTTTCTAGTACAGAACCAGCTATCAGCAGTGGTTAGTAACTACTTTTGGTGCTATTATCTCTCTTGTGACAAGCTATACTTTCTATTTGTTTTCTGCTTATTGGCTTTTGTGTTTCTCTACCAACTAGAATGTAAACTCCAAACATGTGGAAGTCTCTCTGCCTGCAACCTCACCACTCAGAACAAGACAGATAAGAGTTAGTCTGAATTAGAATGAAAAAGAGTTAGAATGAATAATCAGAGGCCTTCAGAACTAGTCAAAGGCCATGCTTGCATTTTAGATAAGCTTATCTTCATTAAGTCAGTCCCATCAGTCATTAAATCAGTCCCATCAAAAGTACAGAAGATGCAACACTGAGGAAGGCCAGTTCTCTCTCCCACCCCAAAGATGGCAGAACAGGCACTCACTTCCACAGCTGCGCATTCAGATGCTTCTCCACCATGAGGTTGAGGGCGCAGCGAAGCCGGTTCCACCTGGTGTCAAACACGTAATAGCCTCTTCCAATCTGCCGGCTCCCAAATGTGCAAAACTGAAAGACAGAGCACGATCTGTGTGCTTGCTGACTCTGGTAGGACATGCCTAGGGAGCGTTCTCTTTCCTCCAGGAGAGGAGCTAAAACTAACCATGAAGACAGAACTTACTCCGAGTACTGTATAGGTTGTAAAGCATGAGAGTGACAATGCCTAACCCTGAGTTTCATGGAAGAGAGGATAAAGCATGAGACGTCCCCCACATACCACTTCTGGGGTGCTCCATCTAAGCTGCTCTAACACCCTGACTACATCCCACATAGACAGGCATGTCACTGGCACGCCTCCCTGTAGTTAGTGCCCTGTCCCTGCTACATGAGAAGGTCAACACGGAGGTTAATGTGCAACTTACAGATGCTGGCTGAGGATGATGACCTGAATAATGACAGTCCAGTTTTTCAACAGACTCTTCTTTGTCATCGCCTTCTCCCTCCTCACTGGATAACCGAGAAGCTGGCTCAGTGGCAGGCAGGGGAGGGTGTGGAGACTCATGGACTGGAGGAGGGTCAATGAGGGCACTCCCACCTTGCTGAGCAGGGCAGCCTGGAGGCCTTGATGAGTAGAAAGTGCAATATGGATCAGATTATATGTCTAGGAATCAGCCCCAGTTTAACTGAGATACAGTAAAGTATCCAAAACCACTTGGGGGAGTAGGGGAGGAACCTCTCTCCTGCACTTTCTGATGTTATCGCCAAGTCTAACCAAAGGTTACCATGTAACTAGTTTTCTTTTCTATAGTCACTCAGTTGGGTCAGATCTCTTTCCAGTCTCTCCAAATAAGGGGGAAACACATGGAATTTAAGGGAATTCTTCGATTCCTCTTCAAATTTTACCTTGGTTGGGGTTACTTTGGCAATAAATGAAGTAACTGGCCAAATGCTCTAAAAGAACCTAAGAGGGACAGGAGTTGATGAAAAGATGGGATAGCATTACATTATATGGATAATCTAGAGCCTTTCATAATATACTTTCCCCTGCATAAATAAAGGCCTTTGGTTTTCAAATTAAGCTTGGTTTTGTGGACAGAAAAACTACAGTGAGAAGATGGCCAAAGAAGGGGCTTGCTAGAGCACTCGAGATCTGGGACCTGGCCACACTGAGGAGCCACCTGTGACCTCTCTTCCACTATGTGGCTCGGAGACCAGAATGCTCATGTGGGGACAGGCTCAAGCACAGTTTGGGACTTCCTTGATGGAGAAACTTCCACCCCTCTGCAACCATTTTAGGACTTGGTTGTGGGAAGGTGAAACATTCAGCAACAGTACCCAAGGGTGGCACATTTCTAAGCAGAAATACTTGTTGGCAATGGCCGACACTGAAGGCCCTCTTTAGGCTGGCTCCCCTCTCCCTGTTTCTCTGAAGACCGGCTACAAAGTCCTTTACTTCCACTTGGTTAAATATACAAGCACAAATATATGTAATCTTTAGTATACTATCATGTGTAAGGTAAAAACACCACTGCTTATTATACTGCCCTAATACCTAATACACACTTAGTTAAGAGTCTAAGCTTCAAGTGAATGAATGATAAATGGATGCCATAAAAACTCAAGCTGAATATCTATCCCTAGCAAGGGTTTCCAGAGCTATAGTTTGCAAAAAGTGAGACAAATGTATGGGAAATAACTGCCAAAGCCATGGGAAATGTTCTCATCATTAACCTGCTGGCAGGACCCAGGTTGCAGCTCTGCCCAAAAGGGTCAAGAGATACCTAATGTTGAGTCGGGATAGGGAATGTAAATCTAGTTTCACTATGATGCTTCCATCTGGCCAAGAAGAGACATGAGGGGAACTTACTGGAGGGCTCAATAATTTTTAAAGAAAAAAAAAAAAAAAAAAAAAGACTATTTAACAATCACCTCCACTGTAAACCTAATAGATGTTCCAGCACATTACGATTGCACTGGGGTTTTATTCTCTGGGGGAGCTGGAAAGAGCTGGAGGATCAGGCTTACCTTGGAAGACTGGGGGTGTGAGGTTTAGGTTTACTAGCTATGAAAGGCTTTGATTCGGAAGGAATCACTCCATGAGAGTTTTGGTGCGGCTCCTGTGACGTCCTAGGAGGGGTGGGATGCAAGTCCCTGAGAAGTTGTGTTGGTTGCTGAGAGTCCAGATGGCGAATCGATTCCTTTTCCCTGGTTTTGTTTTTGTGCTCGGCTAATAACACATCAAATTGTTTTCTTCTACCCTGGACAGCCCTCCGCTGGGCTAAGGAATGTGTCTACAGACAAAACAAACAAAACAAAAATACAGAAGCTGAGAATTCAGAAAGGATTTCGCTGTTGTATATCCAAAATACCATTCCCAGTGAAGAAATAGTCTGGACCATAAGCATAGTCAGAAGCTGTTCAGCATCCAATAACCTAAAATCACAAGGGTACAATCTTTTCTCTTCAGCTAGAATAAAAGCACATATTCCAGTTCCAAATGTACAAGGAGAATTTGGCAATGCTACTTCTACCAGCAGAAAGAATGTTCGCTGAGACACCCAATATGGAATGGAGCAGTAAAGGGTAGAAACACACAGCTGGCAGGCACTTAGATTTTTGTGCCATAGTAACAATTGGCTTATTGGGATTCTAACCATATCATTAGGGGAAAAAACCCTTCTCTGGGTCAGTTGGAATGCTAAATGCTAAAAAGGAAAATAATTATTCCATAAATATGTATCAGAGTCCTCTTTCAGTAACTGACAAGAAGAAAAATTAAACACCATTGCTTCTCTCTACTCCAATGAAAATGCCATTAAAATGAGAGAGGGACTGCTTTGGTGACTCAGAAAGACTTGAGATACGTAAAGAATGTAAGGCTAAAAGAAGAAAAGGCTGTGAAAAGGAAGAGGTAAAAAGCAGAGTGAATCCCTATGAAGATGCTCACTATGGAATTTAACAGGACAGAGAACATTTTTGGATCCTAAAACAATGCCTAATTTCAGAACTGAGGAAGGGACACACAGAGAACAAGGAGAATCAAATTAGGCCAGAGTCTTTCTTAAATGTGTTAACTAATATAAGCCATTATTTGAAGTACATCTTACAAGAACATATCTACACTCCAAATGCAGTTTGGTGGGGAACATTGGTGTGATTTTCCTTTAAGCCTCAGCTGGGGCTAATAATAGTCCCAGCAGAAGATAAAGTCAAGTTAACCTGACCATTCAAGACTTTTGGGTTCTCACTCTGTAAAAACTGCAAGGAGACAAACTGCAGTGGCCTCAATTCAAATACCTCAAACAGAAGTTAACTCTTCACTCTTTTTATGTCACAAAACACTGCAGACAGCACTTTGTATGTGTCTGTAGCCACACTATTATAAAATGATTTGCTCTACAGGTTTACATGCTTACTATTAAAGGGTGAATTAAACTTCTAATCTCTTTTAAAATTCAATGACATAAACTACCTCCTCAATAGATATATCTAACAGACTCAAAATAAATGTGTCTATTTTTGAAAAATATTTCTCTTAATTTAATATCCACAGAAAATCACCTAAATGAAGACAAGGAACTTTTTTATGCAGTGCTATACCAGCACCCAGTACAGCACCTGAAGCGTGAAACAGGCTTCAGACATCCCACCCCCCCAAAGAACTTAATGTGTTAAATTAAAGCGTAAATAGGCTTCTCAGAGTTTTGAAGAACATTTCATTACTGCTTACTCCCATCAGAACATTTCTGGGGTTGCACAGGTTCCTAGGATAAAGACTGACAGTGAAATTAGCTTCCAGAACACTCCCATACCTGTGTTCCCTGCTCCTGATACTTCGGTACCAAATGTCTTCTCCTGTTGAGCTTCCTGTCTGCCTTTTAGACACCCCCAGTATTTGTTCTGCCCCATCAGTGTCGTCACACATGATGCTTGCTCTATTCTGCCACCCACCTTTGCTGCATGTCAGTCTAGTACTCCGATGGCAAAGGAGAGTGTCCGCTAGTCTCTCAAGCGAGAGCTTCCTCACACGGCCCCCTCCTTACTGCCCCTCGGCAGTAACTGTACAGTTACATGAGGAATTATGGAATGAAGCTTTATGTTGTTCGTTAACTGTAGGCCCCGTGGGGTGGGGAGCATGCCTCAATTTTGTTCAAGTCTATATCCCCAAGTACCTAGAATGAGCCAGCGCTCACAATGTATGCAATGCATGTTTCAAATAACTGAGTGGACAAGGCTACCACAGGCAAAATCTATTTGCACCGAAGGTAGAGATCCCTAAATAGGATAGACCCAGCAGAAGGTAAAGTCAAGTTAACCTGTCTATTCCACACTGCTGACAATGAGCTAAGGAGAATGAGACAGCAGGTGGTGGGTAGACAGCAGGGGAGGAGTGACAGCAGTGGGCAGCATCAGATCCTGTGACAGCGAGGAGGTGCCCAGTGTCTACATCTAAGACAGCAAAGACAGGGCTGCACTGTGTGGGACATTTCGGCAGGGGCACTCAAGTATGCTTAGCCCTTCACTGTTTAATAGATTCAGGTCAGGATGGAAGCAGAGGAGGAGAACAGCATCAACATAAGGAATACATGTGTCCTCTGCAAGGTAGGCCTACTCAGATGTCAGTCCTATGCTGAACTCATGGTAAGCGGGAGCTAAGGATGCGTGTTAGTGCACGACAGGCTTCACACCATGCCAGAGACAGCAATGACACCCTTACAGAACACATAGAGAGCACACAGGGTTTGGAAGGAACATGGGAGAAAAATGCAAGAATCACATAAGCCAGTTCAGGAAAAAGGTTTGTCAAACTCTCTTGATTCAGAGTTTAATAAGGGTCTGGTTTGCCAGCATGCCTCACAGATGATTAAAAGAGCGTTAACTTAAAGAAAGCATCCTTCACTGATCATAGGTACTATGGCTCTGAGAGCAAGGTAGCACAACTAGAGAGGATGGCAAGCCGTGATGAGACGTAGAACAGGGCTGACACATGCTTTCACGTGTGCCCTTGGGCAGCTGAAAAAGACACAACTCTATAGAACTCACCTGGCTAACTTAAAACAATAACATACTACTACATGTATCCAATTTATATTAAACAAAAGCAATTTGCTCAGAGTAGGTGTTCTGACATATATATTCAAGGATGGGCTCAGTTGGGGATATCAAACAACCCACATTAGAATTCAATACTCAGGATATATATGCATAGGTATATTTTTCCCTCAGTAACAGTGATTTTAAAAGAAAGGCTACGTAAGTTACTCTTCACCAAACCTATCACAAAGATTCAGAACCACTGTAAGAAAATCTACATGTTGCACTTAAATTAGAAATTTAAATTAAGAGCCACTTAGCAATAACAGCTCTCATTTCTGAAGATTGTAACATTCCACCACTGTTTATGTAGTATACTGAGACCAGTTATCTTTTATTCAAATGCAATCTCTGGTAAAATTTTTAAAAATACATTTTTTACCAAATTTTAGAACACAACATTAACTTTTGTAATTTTTAACTTCTCCCAAACAAGAGTTTTTGAATTACATACTTCAGTGATTCTTAATAGTTCTGAAACCCTTTTGAAGGGCAGCTGGGATGCTCTACAGAGAACTGCACATAAACATAGATGCTCTGGCCCTCCCTAGTGGCACAATGTGTTAGGATGCAGCACTGCAAGCGAGCTGCAGCCACTTCAGTCCAAGTACAATCCCCAGCCAGGGAGGTGACCCACACGGCACAGCAGACCTCTCCTGTCTCACCTGCTGCTCCTCTCTGCAGTGTACTTCGTTGACCTGCCTGCTCTGTTCCCCACTCTGTCTGGGGAATCTTCTTATTCTCATCCTCCCTTGCCCCACACCTCTGGCCTAAAAAGCATAGCCTCAACTACTAGAGAGTGCAGTGTTGCCAGAAAGCCACTCTCCATAGAAATAATGCTGATTTTACAGCACGTATACCCCTTCCTACTAGGATGTATGGTTTTTTTTTTTTTTAAAGGAAATCCTCAGGACAGAAAAAAATATTGCGTTTTCTTAGTTTACATAGAAGTTAGGTTTCAAATTACTAGTATTTTTTAAAAACTAGAAAAATAAAGCTATCTGAAAGTCACAAAATTTTAAAAAGTAGCTCTTTAAATTTAAGAACCACAGATTACATACGTATTTTAAAAGTATATATATTCATAGAGATATTTCTGCTTGTTTTAAGTGAGTGAAATTCAAAACACAATAAAGGGTAGCTTTTCATATTAATGTTCACTGAAGAAACAGTAAGTCCCCTAAATACAATGCTGCTCACTGAAAACAAAAACTCATGTAAGACTGCAGTTAGTTAAAAAAAAGATGTCACACATTCTGAACTTGAAGTTTTCTTCACAAAACCGAGTTAACTCCACATTTACAAAATTCAGAACCATTCACAGGTCATCAGATCTCCTCTGGTCTAGACTCTGGGAGCAATGCAATCCATTCCAGTTTCTGTGCTTTTCTCAGAGTCTTTGGTTCTGTTCCAGAGGCCACCTACCTTGCATGTCAAAGACCGAGTACAGGGCTTCTTCGTGTCAAGATCAATGACCCCACAGTGTATGTCAGGATCGAACTCTCTTTCTGTCAAAAGCACAGAGAGACATTACATTGGGCTCACCAAACCCTCCTTCACTTTTTTTTTTTTTGTAAATAAGAAAACAGGAAAATTCACAGGACCAATAGTAACTTGTATAAAATCTACCAAATTATCAATCAATATAAAATATAAAGCATGTGAGCCTGCAAAACAGCAGTGATACCACTAAGAAAGTGAGAGACTACTGACATTAGATGACATGAAAGAGACTATTTAAGTGCGTATTAATTCACCACTCTATTCAGAAATAAACCACTAGATGGTATTTTTACATTACTAATACACACATCCGCTCTTTAAAACCAAGAATGAGAAGGGCAAGCATACTGCTTCAGAAATCCTCCTAAAGCTGAGGTTGATCAGTAAGAGAGGACTTTATAGAGCAGTTAATTTTACTCCTCCATGAATGCCCAACTTCTAGAGAAACAATAGGACAGAAAATGCAAAGTTACCTGATAATCTCTTATTTAAGAATTTCCTGTTATTGGAATTATCTTCAGGTTTCTTTTCCAGAGTGGGTGGTACAGGAAGCCCTTTGCCATTCAGAATCTGTCCAGGTGAAGGCAAGGTTGGCTTTGGTATTGAGGGGCAGTTAAGGCCAGGCTTGACTGAGGAACTCACAGTAGCAGGACAGGTTGGCCCCACCGTAGATTTCAGTAGTGTGCCATCCATCTTCGGATGAATCTTTTCCACTTTGACAGAGGGTGTCATGCTGTTATACAGGGAAGCAAGAATACCAACAACTGAGTGCACCAGCATCCCCAAGTGAGAGGGCTAAGTGCAGAGCCCAGGCCTACCCACACAAACTAGGCTCCCAAAGGGACTATCTGTTAAGATATTTAAAAAAAAAACAGAGAAACAAAAAAAAACTCAGACTTATTTAGTTTGTAAGTCCTTCTAACAAGTAAAATGCTCTAGTAGAACACACAAATTTACCTGGTCTTTTATCATTCCACAACAGTCTTACAAGTGAGTATATGAGGAGGAGGCTATCAAAAGGCCTACAATGGCCCAAGACTAATTACAGGAGACCTTTAGAGAGTGTCTTTCGAGAAGTAATTTTAAAGAAAGAATCACTCACAACAAAGTAAACTTAGTGGGCAGGGAAAAAGAACACTTGGAATTAGAGACAACTTCCAAGAAATGTCACTAGGGACTAACAAGAACTCAAACGGGCCTAAGACAAATGACCAAGGAGAGGCTCTCTATTTCTGTCAATGAGGAAGACCGATGTTTGTTTACTCCATAATGTACCACTAATGTGATAATTCTCCATTCCCAGAAAAAGGCTTCTGTGATAGGATCTTGGAATATAAGCACCTGGCACACAGCTGGTGAGAACGGAGTACCTGTGCAATAATAATGAAATAACTGCTTTTGAAATCTCACTAACATTATCAATTGGGTAGCAAATGGTGGTACAAAGCAAAGAGTTGGCCTGGTCATCCTTCTTAAGCCCAGCTCCACTAATGATACGGATTGATGAGGTTTTATAAACCTGGTTCAGTGGAGTCACTGCTCCGACAGCTGTTAAGCTGGCAAGTGACTTACACACTGCACTGGCATTTTATTTGGCTTTCAAACAGCTCCAGGAACTAAAGCCAAACTTGCTGTACTTGCACTTCTGACAGATGAGCAGAGGCTAGGGGCTTAGCAACCAGGACAAACAGCTCCAAACAGCTGTACCTGGAACAGCCTGACAGCAGCAGACACACTGCAAGATTCTGTGGCCTCTCCCAGCTGGCAAGGTCCTTGAGCAGCAGCAGGTGCTACCCTTAGATTAACCAGGTTATCAGACATTGGGAGTGAGGAGATACATGGCATACCCTCTAAAGGGGAAGAAGGCCAGGAAAAAGCCACCAACCACCAAGTTGTGGGATGTCAGGAAACAGCACAATATGTTTGCATGGGCTGTTCACTCACGTGACCACCAGGGGTGCACCAACCTGCCAATCTGCTGGCAACACCAAAGTCTTGCTTAGTGGGTGTGAATTTCTTTCAGCATTTGTTTATCACTGCTGTGATGTGAATCCAAGACTGGGGTGAGGAAGCTTTGCTTCCCTATTTCCTTTGCAGGCCCCTAAAATCCTCTGAATAGCATCTGGGAATCTTTTCATCTTTTTATTACTACTATAATCAACAGCAGCAGCAGAAGCATCAACATTCATGTGTTTCCTGATCCTGTGGTTCAGACATCATGCCAGTTGCTTGGCTCTAATATATGAACTCTGCTACTCCCAATAACTCTGCACAATGGCAGCTGTTTTTAGACTCTGAGGCAAACAGTGCCATGCCCAAGGTCACACAGCTAGAAAGTGAGAGACGTGGGTTTTGAACTCAGCCTGTTAGACTTTAAAGCTTTAAAGGGTCCAAACTCCTTGACTTAATTCGTTTCTTCTTCTTATCTGGCAAACAAGTAACAATACCTAGCTCATTGAATTAAGATAATTAAATGAAATACCCACATTGAGCTAAGCTTCAATAGCTCGCACACAATAAGTTATAATTTATTAATAAGCATTATTAACCTTATTGTTATTGCTATTCTGCAAAATCTCCCAAGATAGGGAAACAGAAACAACATATTTGAATTTTCCAAGGAACTTTTTTTCACATTATTCACAGATCCATTCAGGTGGCTGGCGTGATAGTTCCCCTTTCAGCATGCACACACTAAGAATCCCCGTGGCCATACTCACATTCTACTATGGGAGACTCTATTTTGATGAAGGTGATGCATTGGCCTGTTGTTCCCCCTGAGCTGCAGTTTCTCTTTGGGCGATTTCAACAACTTGGAACTTAATGAGGACGCACTTAGAACCCCTCCACTGGAAGAACGGCTACTTCCACTGCCACTGCCTCCTTTGCTTTTGGACAGAGAAGGGAAGAAGGAAAATACTGATGCGGGAGGAACAACCAGTGAAGGCTTGCTGGATGAGCTATGTCTCCTTTCTGCAAAAGAAAATAAAGATACGACACTGTGTAAGGGCAAGTCTCCTAAGGAACCTACAAGAGTCCCCTGAAAGCAACACATTTGGATTAAAAAATATGCATCACTACGTGAAAATACATTAAACTTAGCAGCTTTCAGAAATGGCTTATCTAGGCCCCACAGGCTTATTTAGGATTCTAGGAACAGTTCCTTCTGCTTAGGAAACATCTCAATATAAAGAGGTTTGTCATACTTAGCCATGGGGAAATGAAACAACCTTTCTAAACTTGAGAATATTGGTTTTTACAAGGTTTGAAATGAATCTCACTAGCTCCAACTTGTAGTCAAAAGAAAATTATTCATTCATATGCAGGGTGCTGCTAATTGACACCACACGCAATTCTTCCTTCCTAGCATAGTACCTCTCAATTTTCAAAATAGCAAATGTTAAGAAACAAATTGTACCTTCATTTTTTTCCCCTGTCACTACCCACCAGCATATGACACCAAATAAAACTGTTTCTGAGGTTATCTTATCATTCCTTAGAATCTGTGCTGAAATTTTCCAGTGAATCATTTCACTCCCTTTTTTAAAATAATCTCACTTGACTACAGATGGCACAGCTCCGGTTCACACCATGAAGATGCCAAAGGCGCAAGACAAAAATACCACAAATAACTATGCCTATTTTTTAAACCAGGAAGTAATTCATAGTTAAGTACAGACTACACAGGTTTAACTGAAAATAAATCTACCCACTGGAGAATCAGGTTTTCTCAAGAGAAAGGCAATCCATACTAAATAAATGTAGACCTGATGTTCTGTTACTTTTGGAAGCAAGTACATTTTTTGCTAATTTTATCCAATTAAGTGCCTCATTGTATCTGACTGTCTGCCTTCAATTAAACTTATTTAAAACAATACATTTACTTAACTGCAAATTTTAAAATGTATATTGTCCAATGTTTATAGTATAGACACAGTATGAATACTTAAAAAAATTAAGCACACTGGAACAATTAGAAGCAGCTATAACATGGTTAATTTTCAAAGTTCTCTCTGTTTTATTTCCAAATCTCTGTGAAGTTGCAATGACTTATTCCCTGAAGGACATTCAATAAACGCTATCATATACTTTAGAATCTACTCTACACCAGGACAAAATCACTGTAGACAAAATTTAAATTTTCCAAATTGATCACACAAAGGCCACAAATACGTTAGGAGGCTACACCGATAGTGATCTGTAAGTGCCTATTGCAGTTTTTCCTCCTTTCTGTCATAGAAGTTGTGATTAACAGAGGAAAACGAAAATATTTGAAGTGTAATAATTTTCTAAATTTAGCATTTGAGGTTTTTCTTTTTCTTAGATTTTTTTCCCTCTGATCCCCAAACATTCTGAATATACTTCCAAGCATCAAGCACTTGGCAGCCTAGATTGAAAAATCTGTTTACACTTCTGCTGCCTGCCTTGGTGACAGGGTTTCCCTGAGTCTTGTCTTGGTCATTTCCTCCTGAAAGCAAAGTGGGCTGCTTCAATTAGTATTTGCATGATTTGTAAAGCTTTTCTTGTGGAGAGGAGTGACTTTTTTTTTTTTTTTTAATACATAGAGAGCTGGGGTACAGGCCAGAGGTGCAGGGGATTCACCAGAGACAGTGGGGAGCAGAACAGGCCGACTGATGAAGTACACTACTGAGGAGAGCAGCAGGTCAGGAAAGGTCTGCCAGGCAATGCTGGTCACGTAGTGAGCAGGGATCGAACTCATGCTGAAGTGGCTTTAGCTTCTCTGTGCTGTGCTTTAACCCGCTGCGCCACCAGGGAGGGCCCAGCAGTGACTTATAACTGGCCCTAAACCAGTGGTTCTCAACCTTGGCTACTCTCTCTGGCATAGCCTACAAGCCTAAAAAATGCTGAGGTCAAAGTCCCATCCTCATCAACTATCTGCAATGCAGTCTGGGCACCCAAACTTTTACAACGCCCCTCTCCCCACCCCAAGTATGATTCCACTTTGCAGTTGTGGTTGAGAGCCTGCCTTACATTAGTCTAATGCCTCAAGAACGATTAACCACTAGGCTTAGTTGAGTCCAGACCACTGCCTGGCACAGGGCATTGTAAATCAGTTTGTTAAATAAAGCTCACTACTACTACTCATCCTCAACAGTATTTCCAGACTGCCATCAACTGCAAATTGCTTTCATCATTCTTAAAGTCACATAAAAATACTATTTTCACCTAACATTTTTAGTTATCACCTCTATTGTTCCCTCCCCATAGTCTAATATTAATCAGTCTCTCTTAGGGGAAATCACTGGTATTTTAGACAGAACAATTCTAACACAGAATTTCACAATCAGTGGTTAGAATTCCCGGCACTCCACTTCTAATCACTAGTAGTGCTCCTTTGCCAGGGACAACCTCACACTACCCCCAACACATTTTCAAATTGCCCAGTATGAACCAATTCTCAGTTGATAATGACTTTTCTAAAACAACAAGTATTTATGAGCTAAGAGGCTTGATAAACTTATTTATATATATTTCAGATATAACTGAATTTACAACATTCATCCATGTTAAACCACAAAAGCCATCTTGTGCGCCTTCTGTGGTAGCATATTACAGTAGAAATAGCATGGCTGTGATACAAATAGGAGGAGAGACCCCAACTAGAATTTTCACATTCCTTTTATTATTCTTTGGGTATTAGAATTCTCAAGCAAGTATCTCAGAGAAAATCTGATGTATTTTCTCTTGATATTAAATGATGTAAAAAATTTTTTTTCAATATTGTCAGTTCTGCTATAATACTTGTTTTGAGAATGTAAACCTATTCCAAAGCCAAAGATATATTAAGGAACCATTTTAGTGTAATGAAATTTGCATTTACTTTTACAAGAAGTAAAGAAGCACTTCATGTTCACTGGGTGAACATGAAAAACTACGTCCAACAAAATAGAGCCCCACGGGAATCCACATTAACACCCCAGCTCTCTCCTCCAAGCATCTACTGCGTACTTCAGATCATCCCAGGTGTTAGGAGGCACACTATTCAGATTTGTTGTGACAATGGTTTGGTTATTTCCTTCTACCACAGCACACCAGCTGCAACCCATCCATAATTTACTTCAGAAGTAATTGTCAGGCTTATCCCAGGTAAACTGGGATATTTATGTAGTTTTATAGTATTTAATCTATAAAAAACTGCTACAATTTTTATTATGTTTCTATTTGTTTCTGTGTCTCACTAAGTTTTGAGTGTTGGATCCAAGCCCCATGTTTCTAATGAGTCTCATGTGTTTTCTATTGTGCAATTTTGCATGGTGCAGTAATTTTTCAGGAATGCACTTGAGTTTTAGCAGAATTAGCTGAAACTTCAATCCTGTTCTTTTAATTTTCTATTCCCATCATTTTCATTCATTCTTTAGTGAATGCCTCTTTGTGTTAATTAGCTCTTGATATGGGATTTCACACTAGAAAATTTGCGATTCATAGTTTCCGAACATTTATTTTTAAATGTTATCACTACATGAGGCATCAAGGAAAAAGCATAACAACAAAAAACACAAAAATTAGGGTTCTCCCTGGTGGTGCAGTGGGTTAAAGCACTAAGAAGCTAAAGCCATTGCAGTATGAGTCTGATTCCTGCCCCAAAGATGATCCACATGGCGTGGCAGGCCTCTCCTGACCCGCCGGCTGCTTTCAGCAATATACTTCATCAGTCGGCCTGTTCTGCTCCCCACTCTGTCTCTGGTGAATCCTCACAGCCCAGCACCTCTGGCCTGTACCCCAGTTCTGTATGCATAAATAAATAAATCTTAAAAAAAAAAAAAACACAAAATTTATTTAAATTTATATATTTAAATATATACATATTTAAAATTTTATATATTTTACATCAATATTCATTTTGTCCAATGTATGCTTTCTCCTCTCAGATGTAGCCCCCACAGAATTCGTACCACCAATTCACCTGTGCACTATCACCAAGTCCCCTGTGCTCGTCCCTCCTTTTTCCTGACCTCTCTCCCTTCCCTGCCTCTGGCTTATAATTAGTTGTCTGTTTATTTTTGTTTTGTGTTTTTTGTTATTATTTGTTTTCCTTCATGCCTTAATTTAAGTAAGCTCATATAATGATAACATTTTAAAAAAAAACTGCATTTTCTACTTCAACAACAAAGGTTACTTAAAAACGAAGAATGACTATCAGCAACATTTTTCATTCATTAAACTTGAAAGAGAATGTATGTATGTATGTATTTGTGTAACTGAGATTTTGGCTGAAAAATGCCAATTCAAGTCTTTGAATGAAGTTGCTCTTTTTTTTTTTTTTTTTTTTATAAAGTGAGTTCTGCTTTTTTTTTTTTTTTAAGATTTATTTATTTATTCATACCGAACTGGGGTACAGGCCAGAGACGTGGAGGGTGAGAGGATTCACCAGAGACAGAGTGGGGGAGCAGAACAGGCTGACTGACGAAGAACACTGCTGAGGGGAGCAGTGGGCGGGTCAGGAGAAGTCTGCCACGCCATGTGGTCACCTCCAGGGCAGGCGGGGATTGAACTCATGCTCATGCGGAAGTGACTTTAGCTTCTTAGTGTTGTGCTTTTACCCGCTGCGCCACCAGGGAGGGCCTGAAGTTGCTCTTTTACATCATAGTCTGGTAACTTATTCTCTGGAAGGGCAGCATCTGGCTTTCTCTTCATAAAAAAGCTAAAAGGAAAAACTAAATTATAGATGAGTTAAACTCTACTCATTCTTTCACAATGAGCTCTTATTTTTCATAAGATTTTTAACTGGGCATCCAACTGAAAAAAGAAAAAAACGGATGTGTTCCTAGATCAAAAGAAAAATGGGCAAGTTTTGGATAGGGACCTTGCATTAAGTGGGCAAACTGGTGGGCAGATGCTAAGCTTAACTGCAATGTGGTTTGGTGAGGAGTCCAAGTGGGGTTTTCAAAGCCACTTCTCTCTCCAGGGCATGGCACTGGGCCAGAGAAAGCACACTCTGTTCCTGAATGAGG